TGAAACCGCTGATACCCAATAAATTTAATGTATTCACAATAGTTCTCCAACTGTTGAGATGTGTTGTTGATGAATGGCTTGATAGGTTGAGGAGGCCTCATCCACCACTGTGTTGCAACGTTGAAAGTCTGCAGACAGGCTCAGCGGTTCATGACCATCGGTGAAAGCCTTTGGTATCTTCAATCTCTGAAAGATAAAAAGTATCTATCCATTCCACTTCAAGCAGAATGGGTTAATTAGTAGTGATTTACTGCTGGTTTAAAGTGCGGGATGAAAATTCCTGGATGTAATTACATCAACCATCCATCTCTGTTCCTCCTATACAGAAATAAGTGTGTTATAATTAACAAAGGAAAAGCCCACCTCCTTTGTTAGTTGTACTTTCTTCTTTTTTAACTCTTTGATATCAGTTTTCTTAGATTTTAGAACAAATCATCAGAATTTTGTTCAAAGAGATTTGCATTTCCAAAATTCAAGTTTTCGTATTACTTGGATACTTTCACGCCGAAGTACGTTTACAGTGGGCAAATCTTATCGTCCAGAATTAGATTCACTTGTGTTAAAACAGTATTTTGAAGTTTACTCTGGCCAGAAAATGAAATTCCAAATGCGTTAATTTCAAATTCCAAGAGGTAAAGCTTTAGCAAGCTCTATGAACCAAATTTTTAAATCAACATTTCATAACAGGTTTTTGCTTAACACAGCCACTGATAGTTCCTTAAAGGGACGTTGCATTAACCGTACATGTTCCACACTGATACAGGCACACACTTTCAAATCACCATAGGTTCCAAAAATGCAAACTAAATGCAAAGCATTCCCAGATCTCGAGCTTCAGGGAATGAAAAGTGTGAATCAAAATACCCCTCAGCTGTTCAAGTTGTTCCCAGGTTTTTAGAACTTCCTTTTTTGGGAGTGTTGGGGGTTGTTGTGGGCAGTTTTTTGGACCACTTATCTACCATCGTTGATGGTGCAGGATCATGCTTGTGCTAGTCAGCCCATTCGTAATTGTATTCAATCCTCCCCCCTTTATCAGATTTTTGCTGGGACCAGTTGTGCGTTGCTTGATCAGTAACGGGGCTGAACAAAGCCCCTCGTTGTCGCTGCAGTCAGTGGAGGATTCGGGCCTTTCTTCGTTTCGCATTTTGTTTTCTAATTGGCTTAGTGAGGGGTAAGTGGTCTTTTACCAGGGTCTGGGATGTTAGAATTAGGAGGGGTTTGTTGGTGATCTGGATTCTTTTATCGGGAGGTTTCCTCCCATTCTTCCTGACTGTTTTTGGTATTTTTCAATTTCTCACAATCTTTAATTGGCTTTTCAGCCCTGCTTTTTCCCAGTCATGATTGGACTTCTGCATTATCTCATTCCTTTTCCGACAATAGATCTGTCCCATTAAGACGAGGGACCACCTTACTCGTCCTTTCTCTTTCTCACAGACCATTTTAATATCATCCATGGACCATTATCCCATGGAGATATGGTACTTTTCTCTGACTTTCACAGAGGTTTTAGGTGGGTCAAATTGTTGTTCTATGTATTCCTTTAGTTTCAGTAGAGTTTCATCTCCTGATAGGTCAGGTGGGGCCAGCCATACCCTTGGTAGTTGTTGGCAGTTCTGTATTCTTATCATTTGGCATCATGATAATTTTGGTTCTTGAGACCTGTGCTTAATTAGCCTTGGTCAGAGAATGCCTCAGCTCTGCTGTATTCAACCTAGTTGGAGATTATACCTGAGCTCCGCTGTAAACAGATATCAGATTTAAGGGAGCTTGAGCTTGTCTACCCCGCAAGAACGCAGAATCAGGTGGAGGGAGAGACTATCAGGTTTAGAGAACTGACCAAAGACTTTTAATAGGAGGTGTCCTTACCTCTGTGGGTACCGAGATTGGTCTCTAGTCTGTGAAAAGGTCTCATTTCCTTCAGCGATCTTGCTGGATAATGCCAAATTGTTAGATCTCATATTTTCAATTAGAATGAGTCACGGGGTGGATTCAGATGACCTTTGTTTGCGATTTACAGTTCAGTTACAGCATACAGCAAAAAGACTAACAGGTATACAAAAAGCATCTTAACTTATACAATTTCTCAGTTATGGGCAGCCCTAACAGATGATCTGCTGGTTATAATAATGGAAACATGTCCATTGTTGAAGATGAAAATAGAGACATATAGAGGTTTAAGAAAACAGTTTGCTTTGGAGACAAAAAGCTGGAGGTTAACTTTGCATCTGGGATGATCTGGGAATAGTGGCAGCTTTGGTAGAAAAGGACCAAATGGTTGTCCAGCCAGATTTGCAGCAAAATGTATGTCGTAAAGAATTAGATACCAACTATGCAATGCATAATTTCATGCCATTTTACTAAGCATAAGCCTAAATATTGGATAATGATCTCTTATATTTATTCATCCCCTTTAACATAAAAATATACCTAGGTGCTATAAAACAAACTGACACCAGGCTACAGAAGCAGGTATTAGGTCAAGTGACCAAACATTAGCTCGAAGATGACAAGGTGTAGAGCTGGATGAACACAGCAGGCCAAGCAGCATCAGAGGAGCAGGAAGGCTGACGTTTCGGGCCTAGACCCTTCTAAAAGATCATTATGAAGAAGGAAAGTGAGGTAGAGAAGCTGAGATAAAGTCATGGAGGGATTGTAAATGAGAATGAGAATTACAAAATTGAGGTATCAATGGGCAGCCATATTCTGTGGGTGAATGGGCCTTATGTGAGTTTAGACAAGGGCAACAACGTTTTGGTTAACCTCAGTTTACAGAGAGTGAAATGAAGGAGGCTGACCAGAGATGTGTTGGAATAGTTAAATTGGGTGTTAACAGAGGCATGATTAGGGTTTCAGATGTGCTGAGGCTGTTTAAGTCTGACTGGTAATAGGCCGTCTTTGTGATGATGTGAATGGGTGGCAGTAGCTCATTTTGGTGTCAGTTATAAATCAACAATTGCAAAAAAGATCAGCCCAGTCTTAGACCTTAGCCAGGGAGGGGAATGAAGTCTGTGCCTATGGAATAGAGCTTGGTGCGAGGACCAGAAACAATGGCATAAGTCTTCCAAGTATTTAATTGGAGGAAATTTCTGCTCATTTATCTGGTACTGGATGTTGGACAGGCTGTCTGACAATTTAGCAACAGTGAAGGAATGGAGAAAGATGGTAGACCAAGGAGAAATGAGACAATTAGGACAGACATTCCTCTGAATAAAACTGAAAGAACTGTGGATGCTGTAAATCAGGAACAAAAACAAAGTTGCTGGAAAAGCTCAGCAGTCTGGCAGCATCTGTGAAGAAAAAAAAGTTAAAGTTTTGGGTCTGGTGATCTTTCCTCAGAACTTCACAGACGCTGCCAGACCTGCTGAGCTTTTCCAGGAACTTTGTTTTTGTTCCTTTTTTATTCCGCTGAAAAAGCCATGCTGACTATCCCTGATCGAATCTTGCCTATCTAAATGGAGGTACATTTTCTCCTTCACTATTTTGTTTAGTAGTTTCCGTGTCACTGAAGTTAGTCTGTCGCTCCCCGGCCTATCTCTGCCACTCTTCTTGAAAAGTGGTTAGGTGTCCTCCAGTCCTCTGGCACTTCCCCTGTGGCCAGATATGAGTTAAAGTTTGGATCAGGACTGCTCTAATTTCCTTCCTGATCTTCTACAACAGCCTGAGATACCACTCATCCCAGACCTGGGTTTCATTCACTTTTAAATGCGGTTGCCCCCTTGGTCTCTAATTGGCCCTCTATTATTGCCTCTAATATTGTTAAATATCTTGGGATTCTCTGTCTTATCTGCTAGCATTTTCTCTTTGATCTCCAGATTGTTTTCTTGACTTGCCCCGCATTTCCCATATTTCGTTAGGGCCTCTGTTGTTTTGCTCTCTCCATATTACTTGCTGTATTTTTGTGAGGAATTTGAATGTCCAGAGAATGAGACTTTGTCAGAGTTCGGAAAATGATCACAAACCCAGAAGTGAGGCATGTTATTACATCAGGGGGTGGCACAGTGGCTCAGTGGCTAGCATTGCTGCCTCACAGTACCAAGGACCCAGATTCAATTCCAGTCTCGGGTGACTGTCTGTGTGGTGTTTACACATTTTGCCCATGTCTGCTGGCTTCCCACGGGGTGCTCCAGTTTCCTCCACAGTCCAAAGATGTGCAGGTTAGGTGGACTGGCTATGCTAAATTGCTCATAGTGTCTAGGGATGTGTATGTTGGGTGGATTAGCCATGTGAAACGCAGAGTTACAGGGATAGGGTAGGGGAGTGAGTCTGGGTGGGATGCTCCTCAGAGAACTGGTGTGGAGTTGGAGCAAAATGACCTGTTTCCACACTGTAGGGATCCTGTGAATAGCTTCTAATAGGGAAATGGATAAAATATTCTTGGGGCGGCACAATGGCTCAGTGGTTAGCACTGCTGCCTCACAGCACCAGGGACCCGGGTTCAATTCCACCCTCGGCAACTGTCTTTGTGGAGTTTGCACGTTCTTCCCGTGTCTGTGTTGGTTTCTTCCGGGAGCTCCGGTTTCCTCCCACAGTCCAAAGATGTGCAGGCTAGGTGGATTGGCCATGCTAAATTGCCCGTAGTATTCAGGGATGCGTAGATTAGGTGGGTTATACGGGGATGGGTCTGGGTGGGATGCTCTGAGGGTCGGTGCGGACTTGTTGGGCCGAAGGGCCTGTTTCCACACTGTAGGGATTGTATGAAGTCTATGAGTCATCCATATTCTCTGGAGCTGAGTTTGAACCTTTAAGTTTCTGATTGACGCAAGTGGTGCCTCTGAACAAAAGCTGACAAATAGCATTGTATATGATTCTTGAGTAGCTAGAAATTCCATTTTGATACTGTGCAAATGAATGCACGCATTTATCATATGATACCAATCATCAGTTTTGAGTATGAAGTAGAATGTATTTTTAAATTAATGTTTTGTAAGGATTGGAATAAATGTGTGGATTCGGTGATTTTTTTTTAAGCTTAACTATGTAATTCCCTAATTTCTTTAAAGGTATTCTTCCTCCTCATTATGAATCTCACTCTGCTGTGTTGACATTTCGAAAAGAACAGTATCAGGATTTGTTGCAAGCATTGCAAGTTATTCGGTTTGTTCAAGATTCCACCCCACAAGTTTGGGTTTACCTCCGAATGTACCAACTAGAGTCTGGTACACTGCCACGTCGTCCATCTCAGTCACTGGTCAGTCACGTTTAGCATTTGCTGCTTTTGTTCGATATTTGCATTTGATTTGCTATACCTTATTACTATGGGTCATGTTCGCTTTGTTTCACGTTGTTGCATTTAATTCATCATTTAATTCGTTATTGAAGGGTGCTTAAGTATGATGATTAATGATACTGCACAAGCAACCCAGGAGTCATGAGTCGATATATTATCTTTGAATTGAGTACATCAGCCAACTTATGGGCCAACATTAGAAAAATGGTACAAAACCTACCTATAAAGTTTTGTTAAATTTCCAAGTCATTCACTAACATTCTTTAGTAAAGGAAACCTGTCATCATTGTCTAGTCAAGCCTCTCTGATTATTGTGTTTTTTGGTGCTCGGTGAAGTGGCCCAACAAACTTCATAAGATTTGCTGCAAAGTTGAGCTCCTTCCCTTCTCAGGCTAACTATTAAGAGTGATACAAATGTACTCTTGCCAACTTCACAAACGTAGAATCTCTACAGTGTGGAAGCAGACCATTCAGCCCATTGAGTCCACACCAACCTACTGAAGAACATCCCACTCCGACCCACCTCCTTACTCCATCCTGTAACCCTGTATTTTCCCATGTGTAATCCACCTAGCCCGCACATCCCTGGATACTATGGGAAATTTAGCAGGGCTAACCACCTAAACGGCATACCTTTGAACTGTAGAAGGAAACCGGAGCACCCAGAGGAAACCCATGCAAACATGGGGAGAATGTCCAAACTCCACGTGGACAGTTGCCTGAGGCTGGAATTGAACCTGGATCCCTGGCACTGTAAGGCAGCAGTATTAACCACTGAGCCGCCATGCCACCCGAAAACAACTTGAGAGTAAATAAATAAAAGAAAACTTGCTAATAATTATGGCAGAGATAGTAGGAACTGCAGATGCTGGAGAATCTGAGATAACAAGGTGTAGAGCTGGATGAACACAGCAGGCCAAGCAGCATCAGAGGAGCAGGAAGGCTGACGTTTCAGGCCTAGACCCTTCTTCAGGAATGGGGGAGGGGAAGGGGGTTCTGAAATAAATAGGGAGAGGGGGGAGGTGGATAGAAGATGGATAGAGGAGAAGATAGGTGGAGAGGAGACAGACCGGTCAAAGAGGCGGGGATGGAGCCAGTAAAGGTGAGTGTAGCTGGGGAGGTAGGGAGGAGATAGGTCAGTCCAGGGAGGATGGACAGGTCAAGGGGGCGGGATGAGGTTAGTAGGTAGGAGATGGGGTGGGGCTTGAGGTGGGAGGAGGGGATAGGTGGGAGGAAGGACAGGTTAGGGAGGCGGGGACAAGCTGGGCTGGTTTTGGGATGCGGTAGGGGGAGGGGAGATTTTGAAGCTTGTGAAGTCGACATTGATACCATTGGGCTGCAGGGTTCGCACTAAACAACTGCACCTCCCAGTCGCGAACCATTTCAACTCCCCCTCCCATTCTGCAGGACTGCTTTGCAGAACACCTACGCTCAGTTCGCACTAAACAACTGCACCTCCCAGTCGCGAACCATTTCAACTCCCCCTCCCATTCCAAGACGACATGTCCATCTTGGGCCTCCTGCAGTGCCACAACGATGCTACCCGAAGGTTGCAGGAATAGCAACTCATATTCCGCTTGGGAACCCTGCAGCCCAATGGTATCAGTGTGGATTTCACAAGCTTCAAGTATTCCATCTGCCAGACCTTTGCCCACTCACTCAATGTATCTATGTTCCTCTGCAAAGTTTCACAGTCCTCTGCACACTTTGCTCTGCTACTCATCTTAGTGTCATCTGCAAACTTTGACACCCTACACGTGGTCCCCAACTCCAAATCATCTATATAAATTGTAAATAATTGCGGTCCCAACACCGATCCCTGAGGCACACCACTAGTCACTGACTGCCAGCTAGAATAGCACTCATTTATCCCCACTCTTTGCTTCCTGTTAGTCAACCAATCCCCTATCCATGCTAATACTTTACCCTTAACACCATGCATCCTTATCTTATGCAGTAGCCTCTTGTGCGGCACCTTGTCGAAGGCCTTTTGGAAATCTAGGTACACCACATCCACTGGGTCCCCATTGTCCATTTTGCTCATAATGTCTTCATAGAATTCCAAAAGATTTGTCAAGCATGACCTGCCCTTCATGAACCGATGCTGCGTCTGCCCAACGGGACAATTTCTATCAAGATGCCTTGCTATTTCTTCGTTGATAATAGACTCAAGCATCTTCCCCACTACAGAGGTTAAGCTAACCGGTCTATAATTCCCCATCTTTTGTCTACTTCCCTTTTTAGACAGTGGCGCCACATTTGCTGTTTTCCAATCTGCTGGGGCTGCCCCAGAGTCCAGCGAATTTTGGAAAATTACCGCCAGTGCATCTGCTATTTCTCCTGCCATCTCTTTTAGCACCCTGGGATGCATTCCATCGGGGCCAGGAGACTTATCAATCCCTAGCTCCATTAGCTTGCCCAACACTACCTCTTCCGTGATAATGATTGTTTCCAGGTCCTCACCTACCTTCGTCTCTTTATCAATTACTGGCATGTTATTAGTGTCCTCCACTGTGAAGACCGATACAAAATACCTGTTCAATGCCTCGGCCATTTCATCATATCCCATAACTAAATTCCCCTTCTCATCCTCTAAAGGGCCAACATTTACTTTAGCCACTCTTTTTCGTTTTATATATTTATAGAAACTTTTGCTATCTGTCTTTATATTCTGTGCTAGCTTTTTCTCATGTTCTATCTTACCTTTCTTTATAGCTCTTTTTGTGGCTTTCTGTTGACCTTTAAAGTTTTCCCAATCTTCTAGTTTCATGCTGTTTTTGGCCACTTTGTATGCCATCTCTTTCAATTTGATAGCCTCCCTTATTTCTTTAGACACCCATGGCAGATTACCCCTTTTCTTACAGTCCTTCCTTTTCACTGGAATATACTTTTGCTGAGCACTTTGAAAAATTGCTTTGAAAGTCCTCCACTGCTCGTCAACTGTCCCACCATAAAATCTTTGTTTCCAGTCTACTTTAGCCAAGTCCTCCCTCATTCTATTGTAGTTCCCCTTGTTCAAGCACAGGACCCTGGTATTGGATTTTATCTTCACACTCTCCATCTGTATTCTAAATTCAACCATACTGTGATCACTCCTTCCAAGAGGCTCCCTAACTATGAGGTTATTAATTATTCCTGTCTCTTTACACAGGACCAGATCTAGGATAACTTGCTCCCTCGTCGGCTCCATTACATACTGTTCAAGAAAACTATTACGGATACACTCAACGAACTCCTCCTCAAGGCTACCCTGACCGAGCTGGTTCGCCCAATCTACATGTAGATTAAAATCCCCCATGATAATTGCCGTACCTTTTTTACAGGCATTAGTTATTTCTTTGTTTATTGCCCACCCCAATGTGATGTTATTATTTGGTGGCCTATAGACTACGCCTATCGGTGACTTTTTCCTCTTAGAATTTCTAATTTCCACCAAATGGATTCAACCTCATTCTCCATAGAACCTATATCATCTCTCAGCACCGCCCTGATGTCGTCCTTGAATATCAGAGCTACACCACCTCCCTTACCTTCCTGTCTGTCCTTCCGAATAGTCTGGTACCCTTGGATATTTAACTCCCAGTCGTGACCATCCTGTAACCATGTCTTCGTAATGGCTACCAAATCATATTCATTCGCGATGATCCGTGCCGTTAACTCATCAACCTTGTTACGAATGCTACGAGCATTCAGGTAAAGTGCCTTTATGCTAGTTTTCTTGCCCACATGATTTCCAACATCTCTAATAATATCTCCTGAGTTATCCTTCCTTTTTGCTTCTTTCATATTCTGCCTTGAACTTAAACCCTCCTGCGCACATGCTAACCTGCTGTTACCTTTTTATTTACCATCATACTCCCTGTCGTTTTCCCTTTCCCTTCCCCCCAACTCACTAGTTTAAAGTCCTAGTGACCACCCTATTTATCCTTTTCGCTAGAACATTGGTTCCAGATCGGTTCAGGTGGAGACCATCCCATCGGTACAGATCCCTCCGGTTCCAAAACTGATGCCAATGCCCCATGAAATGGAACCCCTCTTTCCTACACCACTCCCTTAGCCACGTGTTTACTTCCCTAATTTTCTTATCCCTAAGCCAATTTGCACGTGGCTCGGACAGTAATCCAGAGATTATGACCCTCGAGGACCTGTTCCTTAATTTTGTTCCTAGTGCTTGATAATCCCCAAACAGGTCCTCCATCCTAGCCTTGCCTATGTTGTTGGTCCTAACGTGAACCACAACAACTGGATCCTCCCCCTCCCGCTCCAATATCCTTTCAAGCCGGTCAAAGATGTCCTGCACCCTGGCACTGGGCAGGCAACACACCATGCGGGACTCCCAATCCGGCTTGCAAAGGATACTATCTATCCCCCTAACTATACAATCCCCTATAACTACCACTTGTCTTTTTGCTCCCCCCTCTTGAATGGCCTTCTGCACCATGGTGCCGTGGTGAGCTGGCTCATCCTCCCCGCAGCCTTTTTCCTCATCCACACAGGGAGCAAGTATCTCGTACCTGTTGGATAAGGTCAAAAGCTGAGGCTCCTCCACTCCTGAACTCAGGATCCCCCTACCTATCTCACTTGCAGTCACACCCTGTTGTCCCTGGTCACTAACTGAATTTGAATTACTTAATCTACCAGGTGTGACTGCCTCCAGAAACAAAGCGTCCAGGTAACTCTCCCCCTCCCGCATGTGCCGCAGTGTTTGAAGCTCAGATTCCAGATCTTCAACTCTGAGCCGGAGTTCTTCCAGCAACCAACACTTGCTGCAGATGTGGTCACTGCTGTTCACAATGGGATCAGCCAGCTCCCACATCATACAGCTACAGCACATCACCTGCCCAGTCATCTCTACTTAGTTTATTACTTTATATCAATTTATGAGTTAAATACTTTCTGATACTTCTCTGCTATGGTCTTTTCAAATAACCAATTCGTAGATAAATAAAAAAAAAAGTAAATTTTTAAACAATTACACGATACAGAAGAAATAGAAAAAGTATAAAAGCCTTACCTTAGCAACATACCACAGAGTCCTTTTTTTTTGGTTAGAGGAGGAGGGCGGGTGGGAGAAACTACACGTTTAGTGTCTTGGGTTCAGCCGCTGCCCAAATATATTCCCGGCAGCCCCCTGGTCCTCGCTGTCGCCTCTCCATCTGCTGCTGAGAAATGAAGGCCACTGACGCTCGAGGTAAGCCCTTTAAGAGGGAAAACTTACCTTCCCGGCAGCCCCCTGGTCCTCGCTGTCGCCTCTCCCTCTGCTACTGAAAAATGAAGGCCGCTGACGCTGAAGAAGGGTCAGCCTTCCTGCTCCTCTGATGCTGCTTGGCCTGCTGTGTTCGTCCAGCTCTACACCTTGTCATCTCTAGTAATTATGGCATGCTGACTTTAAAAATAATGTTATAATTAAATCTTTTCAACTCAGGAACCTGAAGATGCAGTTTTTATTGCAATAGCAGAAGCAATGGATGAAATGGTGGAAAATGATGTTGATGCCTACTGGCTAGTCAAATACTTTGTGAACCAATTCAATAATAAATACAGCGATTCAGTAGCTCACTTGGTAAGTGACATGCTAAATGTAAATTGTTTGTGTGTCCAGCAAGAATTAAGTTAATGAATTAACACAGTTCGCATTTGTCATGAATGGTAATTGGTTAAGACAGTATGAGCATTTCCATGTACCTTTTTCTATTCTGGCTTCACTACTAAAAGCAGGAGGAGAATTTGTCATGGTGTTGTCTGCATGCAAACAATTCCTTATTTGCTGAGTAGACAATACCTAGTTAAGCTATAGTGCCTCACCTAGTTTGCTTCAATTTTGAAAATTATAAATTAGTATAATTTGTAAATCTACCCGAGCTACTTTTGGTACCACTAGACATAAGACTTAACCAGTATGTTAAAGCAAAATACTGCGAATGCTGTGATGGTTAACACTGACAGCCACTCTTCTCTCCCTCATACCATAACTCAACTAGATGACTCTTCCCTTCAATTTCTCTGTCTTTTACAGGGCAAGATTTTCAAACACTGTTTACTATAAGTCCCGTGAATCCCACAACCAATTTCATTCTTCCCTTTCTCCATCACTGTCACATCTGTTCCGATAATGCAGTCTTCTGTATTAGCACTTGTGGAATGTCTCCCTTTTTCCTTTAACCAATGATTCTCTCCTATGCTCCATTGTGTTGTTAGAATCCTTGATAGTGTCCATTCTATTTCAAGCTCTTCTGCCCTGATCTTACCCTATTTCTGAAAACGATAGGCTTCATAATACAGAAGAGATCTTTCGGCCTATCAGGTCTGAATTGCCCAAAAACATACCTAAAACCCACACAAGTCCTGCTTTCCCACACTAGGCCCGTTGCCATGAATGTTATGACACTTCAGGTGCTCATCCAAATACTTTTTTCTGGTTGTGAGGTTTCTTGCCTCAACTACCCCTTCCAGGCAGTGCATTCCAGAACCCCACCCACCTCTGAGTGAAAACTTTCTCCTTAAATCCCCTCTAAACCTCTTTCCTTCCTCTTTAAAATTATGCTGTCTTATTATTGACTGTTCAGCCAACCCTATCACATTTTATAAGCTCTATACACCCTGATTATCCTCATAATCTTCTACACCTCTATCAGGTACCCCCGCCCCGCCACCTTTCTCTGCTCCAAGAAAAACAACACAAACTTATTCAGCCTCTATTTATAGCTGAAACATATAAAACAGAGAGTAACTTTGGAAGGGTAAATGCAGATGACACAAAGATTGGGAAGACTGCAGACAGTGAGGAGGATTGCCCAAAGATATAGCAGGATAGATAGGCTGGAAACTTGGGTGAAGAAAAGGCATGTGGAATTTAATCCAGACAAATGCGAATTGATGCATTTTGGAAGGTCTAATGCAGCCAGGAAGTATACAGTAAATGGCATAATCCTTAGAAGCATTAACATTCAGAGGGATCTAGGCATATAGGTCCATGATTCTCTGAAAGTAGCAATACAAGTGGATAAGGTGGTCGAGGGCGTATGGCATGATTGCTTTCGTTGCTTGGGGCATAGTGTATGAAAATATTCTTGCCCTTGTATAGAACTTTAGCTTGGAATATTGCGTACAATTCTTGTAGCTACCTGAAGGATGTGGAGGCTTTGGAGAAGGTACAGAAAAGATTTACCAGGATGTTACCTGGTTTGGACGGTATTAGCTATGAGGAGAAATTAGACAAACTTGGTTTGTTTATACTTGAATATTGGAGGTGGAGTTTACCTAATAGAAGTTTACAAAATTATGAGAGGCCTGGATAGTCTGAATCTTTTTCCCAGGGTAGAAATATCAATTACTATGTTTAAGGTAGAAGGGGGATGTTTAAAGGAGACGTGAGAGGCAAGTCTTTTGCATAGAGCGGTATGTGCCTGGAATGCATTGCCGGAGGAGTCAGAAACAAATATAGTGTCGACATTTAAGAGCATTTTGACAGGTACATGAATAGGCAGGAAATAGAGGGATATGGATTGCATGGATGCAAAAGATTTTAGTTTAGAAAGGCATCATGTGTTGGCACATGATTGATGGGCCGAAGGGCCTGTGCTGTACTGTTCTTTGTTCTTTGAAATGCTCCCTCCCAGGCAACATTCTGGTGAATAACCTTTGCACACCATCCAATCCAATCACAGCATGGTGACTAGAAGTGCACATACTACTCTAGCTGTAGCCTAACTAAAGTCTGTACAGCTCCAGCATGACTTGCCTGCTTTCATAATCTATGCCTTGACTGATAAAGACAAGGATCCTGTATGTCTTCTTAATTACTCTATTAACCTGTCCTGCCACCTTAAGGGATCTGTGGTTACAAGCATCCCAAGATCCCTCTGTCCTCCCCTTCAATCCAATAGACTCTGTATTTAACAGTTTTATCTTCCAATACTTTCACTAACCCCATTGTAATATCACCACTGAACAGGTCTTCTAATTCCTTTATCAACATTTCAAAGGCATTGCTTTATCTGTCATGCCCCAACAACCCCTTACTTTTCCTTGGCATTTTTGCAAGCACATAGATGAGATGCAGCGTCTACTTGTCCACTTCTTTTTCACTGTCCAAAGCTCCAAACGTTGCTTCAGGATGAAACTTTGATTAACTTGTACCCTATTCAATTATGCAGAATATTTTTCACAGCCTTGTGCCTTCTTTGAATTGGGGTAGACCAAACACAGACTAGGTGACTACTTTGCAGCACACGATTATTCAGTTTGCAATCCTGACCCCATGCTTTCAGTGGCCTGCCATTTTAGTTCTCAACTCTGATTCTTTTCTGTCCTCTGCTCCTTTGTTTTCCAGAGTGGCTTAACATAAGCTCAAGATCAGCATATCTTTCAACTGGCTATTTTACAACTTTGCAGATTCAATTTTAAATTGTAAGCTCTACCTATTTAGTTTTCTTTTTCTTTCCTAGTTTGCTTTTCTGCCATTATTTCCTTCCATTTTGGATGGCAGCTGTTTATCATTCTGGCACTTGCACCTTCTTGAAACACTTAGAGTCGTAGAGATTTACAGGGTGGAAACAGATCCTTTGGCCCAACTTGTCTATGCAGCCCAGTTTTCACAATTAAACTAGTCCCACTTGCCTGCGTTTGATCGATATGTATCCCATCCATGTACCTATCCAAATTTTTTTTTAGTTTACAAAATTGTACTCACCTCCACCACTACCTCTCCAGCAGCTTGTTCCTGATACTCACCACCCACTGTGTGGGGAAAAAAAAATGCACCTCTGGACCCTTTTGTATCTCTCCCCTCTCACCCTTAAACCTATGCACTCTAACTTTGTACTCCCCTACCCTGGGGTAAAGCTGTTGGCTATCTACCTTAGGTATGCCTCTCATGATATTTTAGGCCCCTATAAGGTCACCCCTCAGTTTCCTACGCTGCAGGGAAAAAAAAGTCCCAGCCTATCCAGCCTCTTCTTATAACTCAAACCTTCCAGTCCAGGTAGCATTCTAGTAAATATTTTCTGCACTCTTTCTAGTTTAATAATTTCCTTTCTGTCGTAGGGCAAGCAGAACTGCTCCCAGTAAGCCAAATGTGGCCTTAACAATATCGTGTTCAGCTGCAACAAGACATCCCAACTCCTATACTCAGTGCTGTCACTCACCCTGTTAACGCATTCTTGCTTATAAACTATATATCTCTAATGCCTCCAGGTCTGATGAAATACCATCAACTCAAAATCATGGCAGTACTCAGCAGGTCAGGTTACATCTTTGGTGACAGTTAACATTTCATGTTTTAGATCTGACTTGTCCAGTATGCTGATGTAGCAATCAGTATGTGACAGTAGCTCCTTGTTTTGCCAAAACTGAGATAATCAGTTATGACATTGATCCGTTCTGTCATTAGAGAGTCAGAGATGTACAGCACAGAAACATGAGATAATCAGTTATGACATTGATCCGTTCTGTCATTAGAGAGTCAGAGATGTACAGCACAGAAACAGACCTTTTGGTCCAACTCGTCCATGCCGATCAGATATCCTAAATGAATCTAGTCCAATTTGTCAGCATTTGGCCCGTATCCCTCTCAACCCTTCCCATTCATATACCCATCCAGATGTCTTTTAAATGTTGTAATTGTACCAGCCTCCATCACCTCCTCTGGCAGCTGATTCCATACATGTACCACCCTCTGAGTGAAAAGGTTGCCGCTTAGGCCCTTTTAAATCTTGCCCCTCTCACCTTATGTCCTCTAGTTTTGGACTCCCCTACCCTGAGGAAAAGACCTTGGTTATTCACTCTATCCACGCCCCTCATGATTTTATAAACTTCTTATAAGGTCATCCCTCAACCTCAGATGCTCCAGGGAAAATAGCCCCAGCCTGTTCAGCCTCTCCCTATAGTTCACACCTTCCAATCCTGGCAACATCCTTGTAAATCATTTCTGAAACCTTTCAAGATTTTTTTTTCTTTTATTTATTAACGAGATGAGGGCATCGCTGGCTAGGCAGGATTTATTGCTTGTCCCTAATTGCCCAGAGGGCAGTTGAGAGTCAACCACATTGCTGTGGATCCGGAATTACATGTAAGCCAGACCAAGTGAGGAGGGCAGGTCCCTTCCCTAAGGGACATTAGTGGACCAGATACATTTTTCTGACAATCGACAATGGATTCACGGTCATCATTAGATTCTTAATTCCAGATATTTTATTGAATTCAAATTCCACCGTCTGCCATGGCGGGATTCAGACCCGGGTCCCCAGATGTTATCTGGGTCTCTGGATTAACAATCCAGCTATAATACCACGAGGCCATCACCTCCCCAACATCTTTTCTACATCAGGGAGACCAGAATTGAATACAGTGTTCTAAATGTGGCCTAATCAATGTTCTGTACAATCCAACTTCTATACTCAATGCACTGACCAGTAAAGGCAAGCATACCAAACACCACCTTCACTATCCTATATACCTGTGACACCACTTTCAAGGAACTTTGAATCTGCTCCCAAGGCCCCTTTGTTTGGCAATATTCCTCAGGACTTTACCATTAAGTGCATAAGTCCTGGCCAGATTTGC